TATNTATAATATATATATATATATATATATATATATATATATATTGGATTTCAATAATATAATTCTTTTATATTTTTATATTCTTAATATATAATTAATTTAAAAAATTATATTTTATAGTGGAGGATATAGTCTCCTTAATCGACAATGTTGCAATGCAACTAACTAATGGCTTCCATGACCGAGCGCTGCAAATGAATGTGATTACAATGTGCAATCATTTAAAACTTTATGCTCATCAATTAGAAGCTATTTATAAAGGTATAATTTAAAATAATATAAAGTTTAAAATAATATTTGTAATATAAAAAAAAATAATTCTAGATATTAAAAATTCAATTATTTTTTCATTAATATATAGATCAGCTAGATAGAGCTTTTGTGGCAATCAGAAATGGAAGTCAAGACGAAAGACTAGATTTGACGACTAGGGTTCACTTGCTGGAACTTATAGAATTAAGAGCTAAACAATGGCGTCACACAGATTCTATGGACGTATATTATACACAAAAATTATCTCATTTGGATAATGTATGTTAAATTACATTTTTTAAATTATTTAATATAATTAAATAAATTATAAACAAAACTATATGATAATAATAGGCAGAAGCAATTCCTGATACACCTACAAATGCATTGTCATCTCCAATGGCAACTATGACTTCACCTACTATAACACCTATCTTGGGACCTGGTGAAGTTATAAAAAATAGTGGCAAATTTGTTAAACCTACTCGTATTCCTGGAAAAAACTACTGTAAAGATGAAGTTGTTATACGTAACAGTGATTCTGGTAAAGGTAAGAAAAGTTTAAAATTTTTAATTATATTAGTAATATGTACATTGTAGGCAAAATATATATGTAAAACTTCGTATTATAATGTAGAATATGGCTTCCATGTTTTAATTTCTGAATGGTTTATTTTAATTTTAAGTTACCATTGCACTATATTTTTGGATCTGTTTTTTGATATATCTTATATTTTATATACTACTAGTTTTTGACATCTATTGTAAGTAGTAAGTATTATATTTCTACTTCTAAATCATTTGCACAAAAATACAGTGATGGGAATAAAAGGGCGGCGGGTTCACATGATCGAAGAGCTCAGCCAGACAATCATCTCCTTCCAGCGAGGTAAACAAACAATTTGCAGATGGCTTAATAGCATCATGTTCACGCATTATAAAAATAACCAATTATATATTTTTTTAATATCTTTATATATCCTAATATTTCCATTATATCAATTCATTTTATAAAATATTAGAAATTTAAATTTTATGTTTTTATTAGAAATTTTGATAAATATATTATATATTTGTTTATAAAATATTAAATTACTGTAAATTTTTTAATAAAATATAACAATTTCTCACAATATCATATAAATACAAATTTATAATATAATTGATATTATATGATATTCCTAAGTATATTTTGTGTTATAACTTACTTTATTTTTATTTGCATGAAATATTTTGTCTTTATATGTTATTATGTTATTATTTCATTGAATGAAATTATTATGAAAATTTTGTTATGTGATTACTAAAAAATTTTTTTGTACAATTGTCTTGTTATCATATTGTAATATCATTAGCATATGCATATTATTTGCAGCTTAATAAGTCACATTTAAATAAATAAAATATTGAATAGCATTAATATTATATTGATATTGCAATTATATTTAACATTGCATATTACAATTTCTATTCAACATTTTATATATTTTATATATTTTTTTTTTTTTTTTTTTTTGCTTATAAATGCTTATACTTCTAAATATATCTAAAAATTATTTTATCTCTTTTTACAGGACAATATTTCCACAATTAATGTTAAACCTTTTAATGTTGTAATGCATAAATAATTTGTTTTAAAGTGTTTGAATAGTATCTATATTTACATAGTATCTATTTTTGATAATTTTGCATTGATAAATTGCCACACATTAACCACAATGCAAATGATTACTTACATAATAAACTTTATTATGATAACAAATTTTACATTTGATCAATATTATAAAATATTGTTTCTAATATAATAATTTTTTCAGTAAACCCTGGAGCCAAAGAACGACTTGTCCAAATCACGGGTACTTCCGAGGACAAGATACAGTAAATATAATTTTAATTTTATTTGATATTTTATTTTAAAAAATTTTAAATATCTAATTTATTTATTTATCTTCACGCTAGTTACGCGAAGGATTTGATAAAAGATACGATACAACGAAATGCATCGCCGGTGAGATTAGAACAAGGTGGAGGAGAAAAAGGAGCTATGGGTGGTTCAAGCTCCTCATTAAATAGTAGTGCATCAGACGAAAGTAATCGATTGCAACATCAACAACAAAACTCTCGTTTACGAAGTTCACTCCTCCACAGCTTCTCCACCAACGACGCCAGTATAGGCGAATATAAATATACGGTTACTGTTGGTAACCAATCTTTAAAAATCACAGGATGCAATCTTGATCTTGTTAGGTAATCATTTTTTTCCTAAAAATATAATAAAATTATGTATTGTTTTTTAATTATTTTTAATTTAATATTACTGACATAATTAATATGTATATTAGACTGCAAAGCTAGTTTTAGATGAACATTTCTTGGGAGATTCTGAAAATTTTACAAGTGGTATAGAATATTTCAATTTTGAAGAAGAATCTCCTTATTCAATCTCGTCTTCCAATACACAAAAAACATTATTAACTCCAAGCAATACAAATGAAGTAGGCCGAGAATTAAATATGGATAGTGCTGCAACTTCAGAAAGTGAAGAAACTTATAAACCTCATATAATATCTGAACCAAATTCATCAACTCAGGAAGGTAATTATTTCGATTGTTAAAAGCTTTTAAATATAAAACATAATATTTTGATAATACTGTATTTAGTTCCAGAAGTTAGAGAACTCACGTATGAGTTTTTGTTGCTGTGTTCAACAGGCCCTTATGCTAAACGGCCACCTGCAGATTGGGTTCGCATTCAAAAGGAATGTCCCAACATTGTTCGCAAGGTACATCAATGTGATACCAATGCTAATCACCTGATGTACAACAATGTTACTTACTAATTTTCTTTGCAAAATGACATAAGATTAACTTTTCGAAATTAATTTAATTGTTTTGAAGTTACATTTATTTTCTATATCAAAATGACAACACTAAAATAATTGTTGTATGTTTTTACTCATTTCATTTTTAAAATACTTGTCACTGTTGAATCTTATTATATTATTGAAAACAATAGCATGATAATATAAAAAAATAGATATCTTTTATTAGTTTATAGACGGCAATTCTCGAAAATTATAACTATCTAATAATTATTGATTTTTATTAAAAAGATTAATCTTTATTCTTTAAATTTACTTTTTTTCTATTTTAAATTACAAAGTCAATATTTTAAGTGATATGTCTATAATATAAAAACATGTTACTAGACTTATACGTAAAATGTACGTATTTAAACTAAAAATTTAATGTAGTACTATAATGATTTTTGTGATATTTTATGCTTTTAACCAAAAATATTATTCTATCAGTATTATTTAGAAAATTGATTATATATAAGATTTGTTTTTTTGTGTTACTAAATAACTTTTTTTATTGAAAGCAACATAATTTCTTTTCAAATTGTAGTAATATATTAATAATTACTACTATTTTGTTATATTAGTATGATATGTTTGTTATGAAATTAGATCTTTATAATATGTATGTGATAAGCTATAAAAAGTTGTTCTTTTTTAAATATATTCTTTTATTTTGTGTTATTAAAAATGAAATGATCTCAATGTTTATCTTTTTTTATTTTGAATTTAAAATTTGGTTAATAATTTGAAAAGCGAATATATCATATGTTGCGTTTGTTATACGTTATATAATCTCAAATTTTATACTTTCTTAAATTGTTTTTATATTTCATAAATATTATAATTTGTTTGGTAATTGTATAGTTTTTTAATATATATTAAATCTAAATTATTAAAAAAATAATTAATATTAAATGAGTTAAAAAAAATTACTGCAATTTTTATTATTTGAGAAATATAATAGAAATATTAAATATATGATATAAGAAATTGAAAACAATTTATATTATAAATATTATTGTATAACATTTATGAAATTTTAAAAATAATAAAACATTTTTACTTTGTATTTTTTAAAATCATGTGATATATATATTATAACAAAAGTATAACAAATTCCTATTTTTCTTAAAAATTATTATATTGGAAAATGTTTGTGTCACTAAAATGGCATGTACTTACATAAACCATTTAACACCTGCTTTACGATTTCAAAGCATGCTCCTCATAACATCATAAAAAGGTAATGTGCAAAATATAATGTTTATTACATAATATTTAATAATCATTATACAATTAAGTATTATTTTTATTTTACAGGAACCGATTCGCTGGTTCGAACCGGAAACATATAAAGCTAAGATAGCAGCTGCTGGTCTTATTACAGTATTGACAATTGGAGAAGGAGAAACTGATCCAGAATGAAATTACATAATTTAATATTTTGATCATCAAATTGTATGTATTAATTTACATCGGTTTTTATCTCGATGTATTGTGATAAATTTTCAAAACTTTGTATAATATTCTAAAATGAACAAATGTGTAATATGTATGACTTCATTGCAATACACAATAATTTATGAGTAACAACATGTATTGCTCAATTATAGCAATACAAAATGACTAGTATAAATATTGAGATATGCGCTAATATTTAACAATATTGTGCGTGTTTAAAATTAATTATTTTTTTTAATAATATTTTAATAAGCATTTATGCTTTTTTATTGTTATATCTATATTTATGCAGCAAATTTATAAAATTCGTTAAAAACTGTTCTTTAATTTTAATTAATCAAAATACAATTTACAACAAAATATTTTTAGTTGGTGTTATGGGTATATACATAATGATGGAAAAAATTATTTTTATCATTATTATTGTTACTACTATCATTATTACTATTATCACCATTATTACTATTATTGTTAGGATTGGAATAATTGATATAAACACTTATGAAAGACAGTAAAGGACTTTTATATTTTTAGTGTGATAAATCAAATTACATACTCATAAAAATGATATTTCTATAGCTTAATAATTGAATGAATTAAGTAAATAAATTAAATTAAAAAAACAAGGAAATAATAGAAAACATATAATTCTCCTAACAAATAAATATTAATTGATATAAATAAAAATGTAACATCATTCAAACAAACATTCAAGAAATGCTTCAATTTTTTGATGTGTAATATTTATTTTGTTACGTGTAACAATCGTAATAAAATAGTGATTTAGAATAGTCTAGTCTATCATATTAAAATAGAAACTACCATTTTGGTAATTATTCTGCTGTGAAATAACAAAAAAAAAAACAAAAATAAAAAAAACAAAAAAAAATTATTTAATCTTAAATCAAGATTTTATATTTTATATGCTAAACAATAGTAATGTATTAATTGTATGGAGAGATGAAATGAAAAGTTTTTTGCACTTATATTGATTTTTATATAATTAATGATAATCTGCAATATTGCATAACAAATTTTATAAATTTAAATAATAATATTTAAATAATCCAATAGTTTATGTATTATTAGATTTAAAATTATATGTCTGTAAATTAGTTTTTGTTCTCTCCTTTCAATTAAAGTTTATATTATATATTGTGAATGTTTCATTAGCCAGAATATAAATTACAAACGTTTTCATTTTCTTTAATTAATGTTTGATTGTATTACATACTTTTGGCGTATATATTATGCATTTGTTATATATATATATACCATATTATTTATGTATTTTATTTTCTGGCTTGAAATATATTAAAAGAATATTTATTTGATTTGAGATTATATATAAATTGTATTACACGTATATGAAACGTTATGTTTGTATGTTTTTACATCTTTAATATTTATTACAAATTTACATGATTATTTGAATTAAATTATTAATAATTTATTATTATTATTACACACTAACTACAGTAATATATTATTATATTATTGTACCTTGCTCTTTAATAAACCAATAAAAGTAGAGTATTATCTGATTTTTTTTCATATTAAAATAAAACATATCTGCATAATATATTTTTAACTATTATGTTCTATTATATAATATTAATTTCATTATTATATACAAATATATAAGTAATAATAAAAAAAAAGTGATAAATAAATAAATCAACAATTTTTTTTGCACTATAAGTTTTATTATTCCAGTATCGTATAGAAATCGGATAATGACTTAAATATACATACACCTTCAATTTGTGCACACTTCATTGTACTAGATATCGATTGTATTTTTATTTTTCCCTTTTTGTAAAAGTTAAAAATGTTATATTTGATGTTATGTGCATGATATCAGAGGCCTACTTACTGATTGTATTTCATATACCATGTTAGTTACTAATTTTTATATTGCAAATGACTTTAAGTAAATTAAGAATAATGCGATACATATACGCACATATATATTTTAAATTCAGTCTACTTGATCATCGTATAAGTTAATTTAGTCTGATATACAGTACCAGTTTCATTTACAGAAATGTTTACAATCATTAATGTTCAAAAAAAAATAATATAAAAAAATATTATACAATTATAAGAATCTATTTTAAATAATAAGTTGTTTGAAATAAACGAATTATTAGTTCTGAAAAAAATTGAAAATTAAAATGACCAAAGTTATTTAGATATCAGAAACTAGTTTGTAGCATAGCAGACGATTAAATTATGCGATTTTTCACATAATTGGCAGTTTTATAAGAATAGTGGCCTTTAATAACTTCATAACATTTCTTAAAACGCGTATTAGTATATATTCTATAGTTTTAAATAAACTAAACTAATCTGTTTTATAATATATTGTTTTAAAACAAAAGTTATAAAGAACCACCATTCTAATTACATATTTATATATATAATTTTACCATTGCAGTTTCTTTAAACATATATTTATGTATAAGTATGAGTGTAAAACATCGTTTGTGTTCATATGCATAAAACGGTGTTGTAGGAATATCTTGTCAGTGACGAGTAATTAATACTAAATTTAATAAGATGAATAAATGTCTTCGTGAAAAAATGATATATTTATTATAAAATCTATAATCTAGTCAAAGTGAATATAATCTAAGCTAATAAAAAGTTACTCGTCTCTGCTTTGTATTCCAAGATAAATAAGTAAATAGATTGATCTATTCTAGGTGTGATTTAGTTATAATAGATTAAAATAAGATGTTTCATACTCTCAAACATTAATTGTAATTTGAGTCCCATTAGTCACATAAATAAAGATATTCTTTAAATGTAGAATATCTTTTACAAATGATTTATATTATAAAGGATTTTGAAAAATATTGCAATAAATTTGAGTATTTTGCTATTAAATATAGATTTGTAAATACTAAAAATGACAATAATAGATACAATCAAACAAAATTCAATTATGACTATGAATATGATAACTAATTTCTAACATATTGAAATCGGTAAATTTCTTTTACATTTTATATTGTGGTGATCACAAGGTTTTTAAGTGTACAAATGTTAAAAAAATGTTAAGGATACACTGTGTTCACATTTATTATAATCTAAACATTTTTTTTATAAAGCATAAATTGCTAAAAGCAATAATCTATTTTTAAATACATTATATGTTTTAATTATTTTTTGGGACAATATATTTAAATCAAATTGCTAATCACAATTTGGATATAATAAATTTTATGCTAAAAATAAATCATGTGGAGCATAAAACTCTTACTTAGAATGCTATAATTAATACAAATAACTTTCCACTGATGACACTATACATTCATAAGAAAAGACAAATTAAAGAAATATAAAATCAGCTGCTCATTCGGCAGATTTGTTTTATAATAGATCTAATACACATATATTTTTCTTTTAATTGGCTGGCAAAGTTTTCATGCATAGTTCTATGTACAATGCAACAGCCCATGTTTACTGTGCATTTCTAAATTTAGAGATTGTAAAATTCTTGTTTTAATGGAGTTAACTCTGAGCTATATTCTCTAAATTTAGATTACTTACTGCACAAACCTTGTTTTTTTAATTCACAAATATTATAAATTTCTACCTAAAGAATTTTAATTTTTGTCAAACTATCAATTTTCGTTTCTAGTATTTATAAGATCAATTAAACTTCTATATTCAAATATGATCGCTAAAATTTTTACGCAATATTTGCTAAGCGATCAATTCTAGACTACGAGTATGTGTCCATTACACATTGAATATAAAGTCTTTACCGAAATTTAATGTAGTGTCCTATATAAAATATGTCTCCGCACTCTCACATTTATCTTTTGTAAATATAGAAAATTATACCATTACTTTTTTCCGACAATTTTAACAAAAATTTCACTAAATACAATCTCAATGGGAGTTATTTTTTGTAATAATCAATCTTCTATAGGGTTAAAATACATAGTCAGGTCCAGCCATATCTATTGCCCATCTGAACTTATCCCTTTGAGTTTTATTATAAATCTTTTCAATAGGGACATTATGTTTCTTACACCTAAATAATATAAAAAAATTAATATAAAATATTTTATATATGAATATATATTTAATATATCTAATATGTAATAAAAAAAATTAAAGGTAATTACCACGCAACAGTAATTCTAGGATCAAGATAATTTAATTTGGAAGTGCCTAATGCAATTTCTTTATTTTCTTCCTTATCTGTTGCTTGAACCTCCAATTTCGTCAACTGCTCTTTTAATCTATCAAGAGCTTTTTTCTTCTTTTCATATGTACTGTAATGACAAATACAAAATAGAACATTCATTAATATTAATATATAATAATATTTTTAATAAAATTACCAATTACATACACTTTTTCTTTAACAGATCCATGTTTTGCATCACGTTTAGCATCCTTTACAGCAAGTTCTGCATCATTAATAGCTTGTTTTTTGGCTTCTATTTTTGCTTTAAGATTTTCCATAGATTTTGCATGTGTTTTAGGCACTGAACGTTGATGATTACATAATATTGCAACAGCTCGATTTGCCCTATTATATGATAAGATCTTTTCCGCTTCTGTATCATCAGGATTTGTTAATTTATCTAATTGTTGTTGTAATGTCCACGAAGCGTTATATGTTCTGAATACTTTAGCAGTGAGACCTTCCATTAATTCATTCAAATGTTTATTCATAACAGTTGTATTAAGACGATCAAACAAATCATCACTTGGTGATTTATTTTCCATAAAAAGTTGTAAATTTTTAAATACTCTTTTTTCTACTGGCACTTCATTGTAATACCTTATAGAATCCTTACCTATAAATTCATGTATATATTAAAATTTCATTTTTCTTTAATTTTATATATAAATGAACATGTTTTATTTTTATCTTCTCTATGTATTGTTATAATTTAGTTATAATAAAAAAAAATTTATAATTTCATTGCAACATACCTAAGAAATCAAATACAACTACATATTCCTTTCCATCTTTTTGCTCATGTAATGTAATATGTTCTACTCGTAAAGAGCAACAACCTACTGTATCTGCTTGGTCTTCATCTTTTTCATTACCAGCTCTAAGAGCTAATTTATCTATAAAATACAATGCAACAGCTCTTTGC